TAAAACAATATTTGAACAAATTGATCACAAATGCGATAGGAAGTAGGATTTAAATTTTTTTTTTTAAATAACAAATCCATATATACATATTTAGTATTGATAAAAATGAATTTCGTAAATGGATTTCAAATGCAGAAGAAATGCCTTTTTCATCATATGAATCATCAACTAGTGGACGTATTCATAATGATAATACTACTAGTCGATTTGATCGAAATAAATATAAAGTTAGTTATCCAAATGCTTCGGAATATACGGCTGATAAATATAGTTCATATGGAACTACAGCAGTAGCTCGTGAGTTCATTGATGATACGGTGATTCATACAAGTAGTTTAGAAGAAACAAATGCATATCTTGAAAGATCAACTAATAATATTTATAAGGATCCTAATCCACAAATTATTCGACGAGCAACAACTGAACGTCCAGAAACATATGAAGAACGAATTCTTGTTAAATATCTTCAACCACCAGCTGTTCCACCGCCAGGCGTAATGAAACAAATGTTTACAAATTCAATCTTACTAATCTTCGTATGATTTTAGCCATTCATTATTAAAGAAGTGCGCCCAGCACAACCACCAGCACCTTCACCACTTATCATACGCAAACATGCATCACCTCCTCCTTCACCACCTCCACTTATCTTACATGAACGGCCACCAACACCACCGGCATGTGCTTCCAGTGAGACAGGTTAAAAAAAAACAAATTTAAATTACATAGATTAGATTGATCAATGTATTTTATTTTACAGTTACTCGTTGTTTACCTCCTATACCTGTTTCACCACGATCAGTTGTCATCGAACGTTTTCCACCTCTTCCAGAAAAACCACGTAAAAGAATTATCTTCGGTTTCCTTTTGGCATTTTTAAATTTCAGATTGTTGTTTCTTTGCTATTTAGGCGATATTATAATTGAACGATGGTTTCCCTATGGACCTCAATCTCAACGTCGCACAATTGTTAAACCTGCTCCTGCTGCTAAAGTATATCCAGAACCGCGTAATACAGTTGTTGTTTATGATGCTGTTGAAGCACGTACAGTCCAAAAATTTGAAAACCTTGGTGTTATTCAAGAAAATCCTGCCGATTATGTAGCTCGTTATGGTTCATCACTTTTAGATTCAGCGACACTTACTCATCAGGCTCTTTGTGTTGGTGTTAATGAAGATATAGTCAACTCTTTTTCCAAAAAATATCCTCAAGAAGAAAAATATCCTCAAGAAGAAAAATATACCACGTTAGTGTTATTTTTAAACGAGCTCTTTCCATTGTATCATACCATAGATTAGGGTGTGAGTGTGGCAAGGGGGAAAAAGCGGATTGTGGTATCCCGATATCCTGTGTATCCCCGATGTATCCTGTGTATTCCCGATGTATCCTGTGTATCCTCAATGTATCCTGTGTATCCCCGATATATCTTCTGTATCCCCGTTGTATCCTACGTATCCTGACCGTATCCCGGATACGCGAATCCGCGAAAAATCTATGTATCCGAAATGCGCCGATGACACGTCAGGGATACAGAGGATAAAGGCGATATATTGCGAATATAGGAAATTCCTGGAGCCGATTTTCTCCCAAGCTGAGAAAAATGAAAAACTGAGTTTTCTGCAAGGGGGAAACATCGAACTTCTGTACGTTACATACTTTCCGTACTTTAATCTACTCTAAAGTACTTTGACGTACATTTCCAGACAGATATCTGGAATCTCAGAGAGGTCTCTATGGTGCAACAGTGACGATAACCGTAGGTACGGATACCGATTCAAACGCATTGGCAAGAAAAACACCATTTTA